ATATTTAAAAAGTGTTACAATGTGTTATTTTTGAGAGGTTTTATAATGTGTTATTTTTGTAAAATTTATATAATGTGTTATTTTTGAAAGGTTGTATTATGTGTTATTTTCGATAGGTTTTATAATGTGTTATTTTTGTAAGGTTTAATAATATGTTATTTATGAAAGGTTTTATATTGTGTTATTTTTGAAATGTTATATAATGTGTTATTTTTGGAAGGTATTATAATGTGTTATTTCTTTAAGGTTTTATAATATGTTATTTATCAAAGGTTGTATAATGTGTTATTTTTTAAAGGTTCTATAATGTGTTATATTTGAAAGGTTTTATAATGTGTAATGTTTGAAAAATTTAATGATGTGTTATTTTTGAACTATTATATAATGTGTTATTTTTAAATGGTTATATTATGTGTTATTTTTGAAAAATTTTATAATGTGTTATTTCTGAAAAGTTTTATAATGTGTTATATTTTAGAAGTTTCACAATGTGTTATTTTTATAAGGTTTTATAATGTGTTATTTTTGTATTATGTGTTATTTTTTATAGGTATTATTATGTATTATTTAAAAAAGTTTTATAATGTGTTATTTCTGAAAAGTGTAATGATGTGTTATATTTATAAGGTCTTATAATGTGTTATTTTTTAACAGTTTATAATGTGTTATATTAATGCATTTAAGAGAAGACAGATATTATGTGTTCTTTCACCTGTAGCCTGGAAGATTTCGAGTTCGTTTTCGAGACTGTAGTATTTCTTTCGCTCTCTAGTATTTTTGATTTGTCTACCTTGGCTGCTATAATAGCGGCATCAAGCTTAGAGCTCGATAATTCGGCAATTCATTAGGCTTTAATAATCAGGTTTATGAAGAAAAATTTTATACTTGCAGACTTTGTACTCGTTTGTATCCTTGCCTAATTTGCACAATCTGGCGTCAGGCATTTATTGAAGCTACTGGGTATGGTTAAAACTCAAGACAGCGTAAGCACAATTATTCCAGATATTACAGGTTCCGACAAGTAAAGAATTTTTATAGTCCTGCCACAAATAAGCTATATATTGATTATTGACCATTTGTGACATGCT